TCGGGCGTGCACAGATCCCGTAGTTAACTAGGGTCAACCGGGGCTAATATGAACAAAAAAAGTAAACTTTTGACATTAACTCAAAAATGGTAAATGACAGAAGAAAAGAAAAAATAGTAGTGTATACAGCTCTTTTAGCTGAATCTATTTATTTACTAACAAAAACCATAAATGTAACCATTATTAAAAAAAAAAATAAAAACCACTGTTCACATTAGCCCCGCTAAAAGGGGCTAATGTGAACAGCCCATGGGGCTAATGTGAACACTCTTAATAACTCTATTATTTACAACACTAGGCATATGTGGGGGCTGTTGTGAACAAGCCTAGGGTCTAGTCTACCAGTTGCAATAAGTCTCAATATTTTATCTCAAATAGTTTTTGAGATATGAAGGTATCTTTGGAGAGCCGCGGGTCGCCCTACGGTAACCCTTTTTTTTTAAACCATTTATAAATATTATACAAGGCTAATAATAAGATATAAACAAGAAAAAAATTATCTGTCAACATACCTGAGTACCTATTTATCAAAAATTTCTTCCACATACAAATTGTTTAAAGCACTTAAAAAAACGATAATTTAAGACAATGCAAATTGTTCGTTTAGGCAAATGACAGTTTATTGCACTTTTAGGCCTATTAGGTAAATATAAAAATGTGGGCTAGGCCTATTCAACACCTTAACTGTTGTCTTTGTAAAATTAAAACTGTTTTATCACTGTAAGGCCTTCAAAGAAGTTTATTGAGGAACTTACGCCTCAAAAACTTCGACAATTTTGTCGAAGACATACTTATGTCTATCTCTGGTTCCACATACATTAGGGGCTGGAAGTTTCCCCAAAATGTCAGTGGTAGAAACAATAAATATATCATCTTCTTTTTTCAGGAATGATTTTTTTCCTCATCACAGGATTTAAATCCCACCACTTCGATCTCCCCGTCAGCCTGAGCTTGTATATATAGTACAATATATACTGTATATATTGTTGTTCATAATAGCCCCTATTCACTGTTCACATTTAGCCCCCCAACTTTGAAAGCTTATAACTTTGGCTGTTATTAATATATTTTAACTTTGGGAAAAGAAAAATAATCCCCAATTCTTATTTAACAAAATTCAGGCTTAAGATTATTCCTACAACCAATGTAAAAATTGTTATAACAAAAGTTTTCACTTTGCGCGGAAAAGTTTTTTGGGCGGAAAAAAAGTGTTTTAACAAAGTATTTTTTTAAAGTACCTAAAAGTCAAATTTGAAGTTTTCTCATTATGGACACAAAAAATACAATAAATTTCCTTTCTAATTATATTTTTTTCATGATTAAAAATCCCAGATAAATGACTTTTTAAGTCATTGTTCATATTAGCCCCAATATTTTGGTGTGTTCATATTAGCCCCGGTTGACCCTATACGTTTTAACACCAGCAACAGTCAATAAAGTGCCAACCTTCTTTTCCTCCTTAATATTGTTACACTCGACGAACAGTTCAAATCGTTCTATGTATGAAGACCCTGTTTCGGAGTTCTGGTCGTACTCGCCGATGCTGCCAATTATCCCGGCCATGCTGGAGTAACCCGACACTTCACTGTCTTCAAACAACGGTAGTAAGTCTAAGTCCACTTCGTCGTCCGACATTCACAAACGCGTTCGAAATTTACACTACGCGGCACAATCGAACAGTTGCATTGCGCGGTATGTAAATTTGACCGACCTCGTCGCCATTTGTTGTGTTCGTGGGTTGAATTGGACTTAGGAAGTTGGACTGAAATAAATACGATAGTTTTACATGTTTAAAACACGGCTACAAACGGGTGGTTAAGGTTTGAGTTTTGGAGGTAGATTGGGCTGTTGTAGGGACGGACGGACATGGACGGTGGTGTGATGTAGGTGGAGAGGGGATCAGGTGATGTTTGTAGCCAATGAGATTTATTGAAAATCATACGATCACAGTGGCGTGATGTACAGGGAAATCATAGTTGGATATTAATATTCTTAAGATATATTACAGTTGGGTTATGACAGTAACTGCCGGACGGCTAATCCACAACGGACGCGAATCCTCTGCCTTTTTAAATACCTAGGCCTACTTTGTATGGTCGCCATTTCAATAGAAGATGGAGACATTTTCCAAAAATTTCACAATAAATTGGTCCAGAAGTGTTTGACACCTTTTCCCTAGTGATGTGACGAGTCGGGTACTTTCCTGACTCGAGTGACTCGACTCGCCAACTGCCGTGAACTCGAGTTACGAGTCGAGTCAGACTCAACTCGAGACGTTCCGAGTTCGTGTGAGTTCGGCATTCTCCGTACGAGTTCGTTAGTTTTGCGAGTCGGCCGACTCGGTACTGGCCAATAGCGTGTCAGCTTTACGAGTCGACTCGACTCGACTCGAGACATTCCAAGTTCGTGTGAGTTCGGCATTCTCCGTACAAGTTCGTTAGTTTTGCGAGTCGGCCGACTCGGTACCGGCCAATAGCGTGTCAGTTATACGAGTCAACTCAACTCGCGTTCCGCCAATAGCGTTGAATCTATGCGAGTCGACTCGTAAAGCTGTGACGCTATTGGCCGAAAGCGAGTGCGAGTAAACTCGAGTCAACTCGTTACGTCCCGAGTTCGTTAAGGTTCGGCTTTCTCCGTATGAGTTCGGTTTCTTGACTCGGCTTTTGCGAGTCGGATCTCCGTACGAGTTCGTAAAAGAACTCGAGTTGGAATTGAGTTGACTCGACTCGGGTCTTGACTCGAGTCAACTCGACTCGCCAACTCAACTCGTCACATCACTACTTTTCCCCTGTGACAGTTAGGCCTAGGCCTGTGAATGTAAAGCAAAAAAAAATCAAGAAACGATCAAATGATTGGTATACAGCTGAGCTTGGTAAATTTAGGTTGCTTGTCCAGCTGATATTTGATAGGCCCTAAGTATAAAGCTGAAGCGTCAGTAGAGCGAAGAGATAGGTTATATGCATTATACTTGAAGGCAAAGCGTAACTATCAGGCTGAATTAGATGCTGCTAAAAAGCTGCATACTGTACATAAAAATTGAGTGCTCCAATAACAAGTGTTGCAAGGCAGCTTGGTGTGTCATAAACGAATCAAGAAAATCGAGAGCAACCATTAGTAGGCCTACTCAAACAGCCCTGATGAATTTAATTCCTACTTTGTAAGTACTGTAGATGAAATTGTTAATGACATGCAACCTAACAGTTCCGTTGCTGCTCTAGCGGTGCCTGACGCACAACACAATCTTTTGAAATGGAGACCTACAACTTCGGCAGAAATTATTAGAATTAAGTTACTAAGAGCTTCTCAAACTCCTACAGTCCAGACATATATGGTCTTATACCACACATCTTGAAGCATATTATAGAAGCTGTTGCTCAACCCCTCTGTATAAATGGCTGTCTGTCAACAGGTATTTTTCCTGATTGACTAAAAATTTCAAGAACTGTCCTTATCTTCAAGAAAGGAGATGTAAACGCTGCATCGAGCTATAGACCGATATCCACCATTCCCTGTTTGGCAAAAATACTTTCGAAAAAATAATGCAAAACCAAATAAGTTAGTAGGCCTGGACTATTTTGAGACCAACCATCTTTTCTCAAATTCGCAACATGGTTTCCGTAAAGGAAAATCAACCGCTACAGCTCTCATCTCCCTAGTGAAAGAAATACAAAATGCCTTTGAGGACAACCATTCCATGTCCATTGTCCTATGTGGTCTGTCAAAGGCGTTTGACGTTGTCTCCCACAGTATTCTTCTTCAGAAGCTGGCTCGATATGGGTTAGGTGGGATTGTTCTCAAAATACTAGACTCCTATCTTTGTGAGAGGAGCCAGATGGTGGCTATACAGGGGGCTCTCTCTGCTCCAGCTAAGATGGACCATGGTGTCCCGCAGGGATAGATTTAAGGGCCTTCATTGTTCTTGATCCTGATGAATGACCTTGGTAGGGATGATGAAACCCTCCAATACGCCGATGACACATCTCTCTGTGGCAGGGGACAACACCCTAGCTTGAAGCGGCAGCGAAATCAGATGAACTGTTCAATAATGCAAGAAGCTGGTTTGGGCACAATGGCCTTAAGCTAAATGAAGCCAAAACTCAGAAGCTTCTATTAACGCTCAGCAAAACCTCTCCATCTCAAGATGAGCCAGTAAAACTAATAGAGTTTGTCTTGGATCCCAAGTTACAATGGGACTCCCACATCAATGCTGTGTGCCTTAGGCTAAGGCGTGTAATTTTTCTCCTTAAAAAACTCAAACATCAAATCACGCAAAAGTACCTCATGACAATATACTTCTCATTATTCCATAGTCATACAAATTATAGATCTTACTCTGGGGCCACTAATCAGGGTGTATCCGTATACTGAAGCTACAAAAACAAGCAGTAACTTAGAAAGAATTGTAACTGGAAGTAACCTAAGACATTGCAGCCATGTAAACCCATCTTTAAAACTTAACAAATTGACAGTATACAACCAATATAGGTAGCCTAGAAGTTATTTAACTTAGTTGCCTGCCTGCTTCATATACCCTAGCCTAAAATCCAACTTGCATCTGCATGAAAGCAGAGGGGAACAGCATGATCACAACATAAGGGAGCACACAACTGAAAACAACTAGATGTAGGCTAGCAATGACAAGAGATTGTTTCCCGCAGGTGGCTGTTAAGATGTAGATAGGTAGGCCTAGCCCAGTTAAGAAACTGTACCCAAATCTTCTTTAGTCACTACCAATGCAGAATTGGTGTGTTAGGCCTAGGCTAGGCCTACTTCAGTTCTGTCGAAAATTATTCAATTAACTTAGCCTTTTTGAGAAAACGTTTTATACAGGTTGCCGCTAAGAATAAAATGCCACTTTCGATTAAGTTAGTTCACCATCCTTAGACCTAAGTTAATTAGTTCAACTGAAACTACCAGTACCTAAAATGGATACTTAATTTAAGTTAGTCTTATTGACTTAAAACTGTATTATTTGTAATAAATATTAACTCATAGCTTACTTTTACAAAAACTTGTAACTTGGTTGGTGTTCACACTCCACACCACACTCTTCGTCTTCTTTCTTAGCGTTCCGTTAAGCGTTAGCCTTAGCCTAATCCTAATAGACTTGACTTAGTCTTAGTTTTGCTGTTGTGCTGAGTTGAGTTGAGTTTCAGTCCGAGGCTGCCTTTTGAGTTGAATAGTTAGTATAGCGCTTCACTACTACTACTAGGTTACAGCACCATACAACAAAAATAATACAGAGCTATCACGTTGTACCCCGGTATCCCGTTGTGCACCGACTGCTCGTTAAATATAATGTTATTTAAATAGATTATTACATTTTAAATCAATTCAGGCAGATTGAAATTCGCTTAGACGGCATGTTTGTTAGTATTACCATGATACCTACGGTAGTAACTTATTCCCTATATTCGCTCCCGTGTCCCGTGTCGAAAGAGACATATAATGCTCAACATTTGAACCAATGTCCCACAACCGATTTTGTGCATCCCGGCAGGCAAAAGGTCACCGGACGCTCGAATTTCAGCGTCAGCTGTGATGCTCAAAATCGAGTGTCCGTCCGGTGGCTTTTTTAGCATACGACGCTGGCATCCCTAGTCTAATCAAATCACCCCCATTTGATTTGATGCCCCGCTAGCGTCCCGGTCGCCAGCCTCCCGGGCGCCAGCGTCCTATAATCGTAGCCTATCCAAGCTCTCGTGTTCTTAATAAAAATACACAAATACCATTAGCTGCATCCAAACAAAACAGCTGTAACAACACTACTTGCGCATTGCGGAGGTTAACTGCAAGAAAGGACCATGAGGTCTTAAGTTCGCCTCAAAGAAGGATTTTCATTTAATTTCATTGCGACGTTGTCACTTCGAAGGTCGCGTCCTACACACTGGTTATACACATTTTACACTTCCAACAGCCTTATAAGAACTTTGTATAGGTCTATTCAAATTTAAACTTAATTATATACATAGATAGATAATGATTTTTCTCAAACAAACCTTCAACATCCTACTTGTCTACATAATTTTACATGCAAGTTTATCCTCATAAAACAGTCATTCCTCCAAGCCTGTCTCTTCCCTTTTGCGTGAAAAAAAAAACATACATACAAAGATGCAGCATGCAGGCAGCAGGCAGCAAATAGAAAAGAAACCAAGTGTCAAGTGAGGTTATGTTATGTTCAAACTTCAAAACCGCTGCGCTCTCCTCCTCTCGCTCAAACCAAAACCAAAGCTTCACTTTTCACTCATGCTTAGTTACATTACACAAAAAATTATGATTAAATTAGAATAAATATATACAATCCATTAAAATTTCCCAGATTTGTTGTATGTTTCCTTAGGTGTTAGGTTACTAACAAATTTCTGTACATTGTGACTAATCTACTAAATGTAAGTAGTAGCCTATAATAATAACATTGTGGTACTGTACTGTAACCATAGGTAGCCTAGGCTATGGACTTTCTAAGAAATAATTCTTTGATTAAGCTTTAAGCTCATTCTTAATTGTTATTGATCCTAAATCTAGTGTTAGTGAGTTGAACAAAGTTGGGATTCTGTGATCCAGGTTCCATAGGCTAGGTTAGGTTAAGTTAGTGATGTGTGTTTCAATACGTATCGATACAGATATCGATACAAGGACCGCAAAATATCGATATTTTGTATCGATACGTGGGAGTGTATCGATATGCCCGTATCGATACACCTATAGCCAATATCGTATCGAATATCGTATTTATTTGCTTTAGGATTAAAAAAGTTTTCATTTTGACCCCAACCTGCAAATGACCAAAATTTTCGTTGTTGACAATATGTAGGTACTCATTTTCTTCAATCTGAAAATTATTTAAAATTGTTAAATTAGAATTTAGAAAGAAAATCTATGCTATAAAATGTTTTTTAGCCTTTATATGTTATGTGACTTAAAGGTCCCTATTTAACTAGACAATTTGGTTGAGATCTGCCTCCTTGATGATTTGAATTGCTTTTGCATCCTTTTGTTTTTAGCCATTATTTTGGTTACATCCATCCACAGGCATGTCCAGGGAACTGGGGTAGGGGCTACGTCTCCGAGGGTATACCGGTTCCTGGTTATTCTGGGCCGTCCCTTGCCGCACGATGCGCTGGCAAACATTTTTATGGCTATTTCAACCTCAGGTAGCATGGAGAGCTTGCTTGGCAAGCAGTCAGAGGAGAAGGCGTTTAAGAGGGGAGGGTGTGTTTCAAGGTCACCCCCTTTGACGGTAGAAAATATATCGTTGGCACCTTCGCTGGTAAAGGGAGCGACTGTCTCCCCTCCACCGGTGCCAGCATTCAAGTCTGGTGAAGGGCTGTTGGAGGAACACCTTACAACAACGTTGCAGTCGGAGAGGTCAGGGATGGTGCTTCTGCGTCAGAAATACCTTGACGCAGAGAGTAGCATCGAAACCCGGGGAGGAGACCATTAAAGCTATGCTGGACACCTTCCGGACCCAGAAAGCTGTTAACCAAGTGGTCAAAAATGGCATGGCCAAGCTAGAAGACAACCTTGGATTCGTTTTTGCCTGCCGGTTGGTAAGCAAGGCGGCCATGGAGAAGATTGCGGAGAAGGTAGTGTCTATGCCCGATGACAGGGCGCTGCCTTCCAAGAAACGCAGAAGGCCATCCACTACGGAAAGCCCTCCAAAAAAGGAAGAAGCTGTTCAGACAACAAGGGCTAAAGTTAAGGCTTAGGCGACCCAGACAGACCTTTTGTCTGCCGGGTCCAGGTCTTCCCCAGATGTAGCTGCTTTCCCAACAAAGCGTCTGCAACCTCAGCAACCCGTGACCCCTCTTAGGGGAAGCTCCCGTAAGGGATCAGTCGTTGAGACACCATCTGGGGCTGCATGGGAAAAGCATCTTACCCGAAAGGAGAAGAGGCAGCAGAGGCGGGCGGAGGTCACCTCCAAGAAAAATGTGGCGGTGAAGGCGCAAGCAACAAACGTTGCCCAAATTGGGCCCGGTTTGGCCCCCGCTCTTAAAAGGTCGCGGCCAAAAAAGCCCAGGACTCATGCAAACTATAAACGCATGGATGGCAGATCACGGTCTCTCACTCGCGCTGAACAAAACTGAGATCGTGATTCTGACCAAAAAGCGGATTGACACCATTGTGCCGTTGAGGGTGGGGGACCTCGAAGTCCAGTCCGTTCGTGCCGCCAAGTATCTTGGTGTCATGGTGGACTCTAAGCTTAGCTGGCGGGACCAGATATTCCGAACGGCGGACAAGGCCGCTAAGGTGATCTCTTCTCTTAGCCGGTTAATGGCCAATGTCGGAGGTCCTCGTTCCAGTCGCAGAAGGCTGTTGATGTCTACAGTTCAGTCTGTGCTCCTGTATGGTGCGGAGGTGTGGGCAGACGCGCTCAATAAGGAGGTGTATAGGATGCGGCTTGCCAGAGTGCAGCGTCAGGCAGCACTCAGGGTAGCATCCGCCTACCGAACAGTGTCTGAACCTGCCATCTTGGTGGTTGCTGGAGTAATCCCCGTCAAACTTTTGGCGGCGGAGAGGAAAGCGATTTATCAGCGGCGTGGAGAGGACCATGCAAAAATGGAGGAGCGCAACCGCACCTACCAGCTCTGGCAGGAGAGCTGGGAACAGGAGTCACGGGGACGCTGGACCAGGAGACTGATTCAGCAAGTCCAACCATTGGTTGACCGACGGTATGGTGAGGTGGACTATTACCTTACCCAGTTTCTGACAGGTCACGGGTTTTTTCGGTCGTACCTGTTCAGGATGGGCAAAGCCGTGTCACCCGATTGCATCTTCTGCCCAGGCACTCCCGACAACGCGGAGCACACCTTCTTCCGCTGCCAGCTTTGGGAAGGTTCCCGCCTGGAGGCTGAACAACATGTAGGGCAGTTGTTGGTGGACACGGTCATTCCGATGATGACGGAGGGTGAGGACAATTGGACCTGTATGTCACATTTCGTCCAGGATATTCTCCGCACAAAGAAGCTAGAGCTTGACCGAGATGCAGTCTAGGTCATAAAGAAATTGAATGCCAGAAACGGCGCGAGCCCTGAGGGCTTAGGTCACACGTTGACCTGACCTGAAGTAATGTGACAAACAATCCCAGGTCTGTGTCCAACAGAGTAGAGGGGGTTTTTTAGTGAGTATTCTGACAAGCTCAGGAGTCTCACACTACAGGCTGGCTACCTGTGTGCGTAAAAGCATTTTTACCTCCTCTCCCTTTAAAAAAAAAAAAAAAAAAAAAAAAAAAAAAAATCCACAGGTATGTGTAGTGTACCCCTTACTCTTTTTCAAATCCTTAGCTTTCTTCATTAGGTTTGAAACGTATGGCGTTAGAATGGTCTTTAAAATAGATAGCTCTGTCTGGATAATCCGAAGTTATCAATGAAAGCTGTAGTTTTTCTTTCCTGGAAGTGGTTTTTGGTTTTGTTTGAATCTTTACTTGATGTTCACTTTTTAAGACAAATCTATTTACCGATCTTGTACTAAAGGATATTTAATGCATTGTTTGAAGTATTACAAAACTTATAGCCTACTAGCAGAGTACCCGTCCTTCGTACAGGGTTGGCATACCTAAGTATAAAATGCTTATTGCAGTTATACTCAAGCTTTGAGTTTGCAATGAGGGAGGACACAGTTTAATAAAATTTGCTTTTTAAAAATTTACGGTATACTATTATATTACACATCTACCATAGCCATAATGTTCTATCACTTCACCTAAACGAACAAGAAAAAATTCAAATCATTTCACCTAATAAAAATTCGCAAAATATCACAAATTATTCATGAAATCAAAAACATAAACATAACTGTAAACAATCCTACTTTGACAGTTAGTTCTCATTGCGTATCACAGTTTTTTGTTGCTGCTTAGTTCAAATTAGCTGTTTTCATAAATGCAAAAAACAAAAAAATTGTGCTGCACCCTGTTGGTAAATCTTATAACTTTTTAATGCTTTTGCATGTCATAGAACCAACTTTATAAGTTGAAACAGCTGACTAAATTCATTAATTCCCTTTAAATATGAATACTCATAAGGTTAACATGGGGAACTACAGAGCCACTGGGGCGGAGCCCGAAAGGATTTTTGAGAT